CAGATTATGTTTTCTTATCATTGTTGATTATTTCGATCCATAAGGCCTGAAATGCATCATTTGAGCATTTCTCTAGCACTCTGTACTCTAACATATTATCAATGTACATACCGACACCTCCAGAAGCTAGTGGTGTTGGAACGTACTCAAATTCATAACCTGGAATCTCTGTTTTGAAATTAAGTTGGGTTGAATGTGTAATTTTTTGTTTCGGTAACACCAATAACATTGAAATGATAATTAAGTTCATCTAGTAATTGAACTTGTAAATTTTCTAGATTGCGTTTTATGCTTCTGATATTATTATGGAGAAAAGACACACTAGAAGTTATATTAGATTTCGTCCAAGAGTTACTTAGCTGTTTAAAGGTGTTTGTAGAATGATAGAAAGTACGGATTTGGTGTTTTGAAAGAAATTGATCGGGATCTATGTCACTAAAATTAGTTTGGTTTAAATTATATAGTTCCATATCATGTAGGCTAGAGAGTGCATTCAAATTCTTCATTGTTGTACGAATACCAGATGGAGTATAATTGTTTAGCTCTATATAATTTGTGCCATAAAATGGCAGTTCCCTTAGGAACAATTTACGCTCGTTAATATCAGTCATTTTTAAGCAACAGTCAGTTGTAGTTTAAAATTAAGTTACAATAGTCAATAGATAAAAAAAAGATTACTCATCTGTGCGATCATTTCTGTTCTGCATAAAGCGTTCAAATTCAGCCATATTATTCAGCTTTATCACTTGAGATTGCTCATTTTCACGAAGGAAGATGGTTGATGATTTAGACCAGCAGTACTTGTAGTTGTTGTCGGCTTGGAAGCGTTTTGCTTTGTATAGAAGTTGTTGTAGTTTAGGAGTTAGATGGTCATAAATAGCTATGTTTTGTACTTTTGTTCGGCGGTCGAAGCCCAAGTCGGCGGCTGTTAGCTTTCTGGTTTCTTTCTTTCTCGACATCACAGCGGCTTTCGCTAGACGTCTTGTAAACTTGCATATAATGGGATTAGGTCTGTCTGATTGTCGTCGACTAGGAATCCTGTGAGCAATGTCTATGTCCTGCAAAGTAACGTTAATTGCCCCGATGCTGGAGAACAATTGGATACAAATATCTGCCGTATCTGCAGAGGTTTCATTTTCCCGAGTTTGTGGAATACTGAAGATCTTTACATTATAGTTATAACTATATCGTTCAATTGAATCTATATGATCGGATACGCTGTCGACCTTCAAAGATATCTCGGTTAATCTTGTATTTAAATGCTTGATCTCCTTCTCTGTTGAAGACTTAGATAACTTTAGATCGTCATATTCATCGCTTAGGTATTGGAGACTTTTCGCTTGCTCTGATGTACTCGTCTGTGATGGCGGACTTTGTTCTTCAAACCTCGCCTTCAGTGTTAGCATATCCGCCATAACGGATTGTAGTTGTTCTTTCAAGGCTTCGTTTTCTTTTCTCAATGCTTTAATAGAATCTGTCATATTAGTTTAATATCAACTTTTCAACAATAAATGGTTCTGCAATATATAAACTTAAGACTAACTTTCAGACGTCTGTTCAGCACGGAGGTCCGAAGGTGTATAGACAAAGACGTCACCGTCGTAGGGGTTGATGTCTCCAACAATAGAATTACAGAACTGGTTTTGGTGAACGAAATCCGATTAACCCGTCGAATAAATTTTTTTAGCGACTCAAGCCTATAGTCAAAATCAGTTTGCACCTCCATTCCAGTCTCGTATGATCTTTCCAGTACAAGTCAGACAAGTTATTATGGCTCCAGCAATTATTTAGACAACATTTACCGACCGTCAATGCATATACCAATCTGTTTTCATGTAATTGGGAAAAATGGGCTACCTCCCCAGCTCCGTTTACTGCTGTCAATCCACAAGATACGCGATTGTTAGATTCTCATCACAAATATACCACTTGTCTCTGGGTCTTGCGAACAAAATCCAACACAACTGAGGTACTGCAACAATACCACAATGGACAATACGACTGAAGGTCTATCATTGTTGTCTTCAACTGTCAAGTTCGCGAAGAGTGACACGTAAGGCTAGTGTAGACTTTGTAGTGTTATTTTCTTTGTCATTTTGTGATTTCTTTGGACGTATCTGGTTGTGTTTTGCGTTACTAATAATGACGTGCTATGACAGCTACGTTGTGTTTGTGTTACGAACTAGAGTATTTATAAACTATAATGTACAATATTTATAAACTGAACAGCGTTACATTAAGCAAGAATATTTGTGCAAAATGTATATTATTATTGAAACATCAGTGACAGTGTTGCGACTTACAAGTACCCACAAAATTTAAAAATCTGTCTCGATAGACCTGCAGTTATCATTTCCAATGCATCGGATATGCACATATCTGTGTAGTTTTCTGTGTATTTTGGATATCTTCGTAAAATAACTTTCATGATGTTGAAGCAATACTCGCATGTGTTGTAACAGGGGTGATAGGGAGGTTGAAAAATGAGTTCAACATTTCT